ATTACAGGCGTGAGCCACCGCACCCAGCCTATGCTGGAGTGTTTTTAAGAGTGATGGAGAATAACGTCTATGACTTCCTCTCAGAATAAAGACTGATGTATATTACATATATAATATATATAATGTATATATAATACACATATATACATATGTATACACATATATACATCTATATATGTGTATATATATAGAGAGAGAGGCAGAGACAGAGAGAAGGAGGGAGGGAGAGAGAGGGAGAGATTGAGACTTCAATCCTAATGCCATGGAGATATAGAAGAAGATTATACTACTTATTTTCTCTTCACCAGACCCATGTGATAGTTTTGGTCCAGAGAAAGGCCTTCCTTACCCCCATTCAAAGAAATGACTTATTAAAAATCAAGCAGGGCAGGAGGTAAATGATTCACTGACGTGTTCCCAATAAACTCTATACCTGATCCCTTGCTTTGGTGTTCTATAACTAGTCACTGCCAATGGCTCTGAGCCTTAACTCTGGCTTTCTACCTCCTTGGGGAGTGAATGCTGCTGACAGACTCCACTGCCCATCTTTGAATTACATGGTCTGAGTCTGTCTGGGGGCAGTTCCAGAATTTCTACAGAGGATGTGCTTCGGCACAGCTTGGCTTAAAAGAGGAGACCAGGGGCTTGCCTTAAAGCTGCATTTATAAAGCAAGTACACTGCTTTTATTTAGACTGCATGTTTGCTTGGAAGGCCTTTGGACAAACCAGTGTGCTTATGGAGGGGCTAATGTGCCCTCCAACCCAGCCCTGCCACCTGCCAAGCCATCCCTTGATAACATCCTGGTCAATCTGCATATAGGTTAGTCAAGGCCAGGGCTAGTAGAAGCTCCAGCTTAATGTCCCAGGGAACAATGCAGACACAGGACAAGCTGATGAGTAATTAGGGGGGCTGATGAACATCCTCAGGAAGGGGTGGGGCAGGCTGCGCTGGGCAGGCTGCTTTCCAGAGTGACACCCAGTCTGGCCCAGTCTGAGGTATACAAATGATTCACATCTGAAGAGGGATGACAGGATCGTGAGAGTAGGGCAGTATCAGGGGTCATAGGCAAGGGAGGAGTTCAACGCTGTAGACAGACAGGACAAGAGGCAAGCCAAGGAAGAGGAATAAAGAGGAGGACAAGACTGGGGGTGATGAAGAGGGGCTTGGGTACAACCCAGGATGTCAGAACCTTCCTCTCAATGGGTACTAACCCCCTCCATCTCCCCACCGGCTTGCCTGGACAGGTAGAGAGCAACAAATATATTTCAGACTGAATTAAATCATTAGCTTAATTTGGGGGTGGGGGGCACTGCCTTGGGTCAGTTTAGAACTTTGCAGAGTAAACAAGAGACCCAAGTCAGCCTGAAGGCACAGGCGAGTGAGGATGGTATAGGTGGACCCTGTACATTGTCCAACATTGCCATCAGCACTCTCCTCCCGACCTGTGGGGTAGGTGGCCAGCTGTTTGTGTTTGTCCACTAAAAACTGAGATGCGCAGACAGTATAGGTAATTCCAACATGAAATTAAAGTTTCTTTGGAACTTTTCCTATGCCTTCGATCATGTAGTATTGGGTAACCTCAGCCCTGAAATTTATCTTCCTGTCATATTCCCCACAGAGCAGTTTCTCAACCTTTGATGCTATTTCCTCCTCAAAGTCCAGTATGATGTCAGAGGATAAGAGAGAGAAATGTGGAGGAACTGCAGCAGTGCCTCCTTAGCACTCAAAACACGCTCGTGGAGATACTGCCAACCCCAATAGCCAGAGCTGAGTGGGCCTGCCTGGGGCGGCCCACATCTGAATGCTCTGCCTCTTTATTTCCAACATTTATATGCTCTTCACAGGGTACAAAGCTCTTTCACATACATAAGTTAATGGAACCCAACAACAACCCATGCAGACAGGTAGAAAAATAATTATTATCCCCATTATATAAATGAAAAAAACTTATTCAAAGATGACAATCTATTCAGGGTCACAAGAACTCACAAAAGTGAGACCAGGATTCAAACACAGACCCCTGGACTCCAAGTACCTCTAGTCCACCGTTTGTAAAGGCACAAAGTCTCTGCACTTATGCAGACAGCTCCCCAGCCCCACCACCACCTCTGCCATCCATAGCAGGACTGAGTTCCGGGTGACTCCTCCACAAATACAGAATCCAGGATGAGGAACAAAGGATCATCAAGGCAGGAAAGGGGGAGGCTCTCAGTACCTGCAGGAGGAATGACAAAGGGAGGAGCAAAAGGCCCACGGCCAGGAAAAGAGAAAGCAAGTAAGAAAAGTGTGTATAACATCTCTAAGTCACCTAAGGCTTAGAAATCTATCTTTGCACTTTTACCAGAATATACATTTGCACACATGTTTACACAAGCGTCAATACTTAAATTTTTATCTAGGACGAAAAGAGGGCAACCAGCATTTAAGGAGTACTTCCTGTATATGAGAGACCATGCTCAGTGCTTTCTCTTTTAATCTTGGGAGATGGATATAATCTTCATTTTTACAGATGAGGAAATTAAGGCTTAGAGAGGTGAAACTATGTGCCCAAGGTCACAAAGCCTGGACTGGAACAAAAGCTGGTCTGACTGCAAAGCCTTGGTCTTCCCTTTACACCACATTAACAATGCCTTGGGCTTGATCTCTGTCATTTAGAAGCTTGCAATCAGACTTAACCACTCTGTTGGGTATAATCACAGGCCAGAAAGCATTTGAACTAATGTATACTCCAAGGAGAATGGCTAATGGATAATCTGAGTTATAGTAATTCCCATTTGAGTTACAGTGATTCCCCTTGCCCCAGCCCAAAGAAATAAGAGGCTGGTCTTAAGTTATTGTGCGCTGCTGCTCCTCAGCAGCAGGCTGAGAAACTTGGAGGAGAAGCAGCCAGCCTTAGGCATGTGTGTACAAGTGATGTTGACAGTGTGTGTCTGGGTGCTGCCTGACTACAATGCTGTGTGTGCATTTCTTCCACTGTGCACGTGTGTTTTTGAAAAATGAGATGGACTGCTAACATGTTGTAGTTTCTCAAATAGATTCCAGCGAACACACATGAAAAATAATCTCATACTTAAATGTTTCAATTCAGTCTCCATTCACAGAAAACATATGCAGGCCTGTTCTAACAAATATCTTGCAGAACAGCAAAATATCTAAAATAGATCTGATCTGATTAAAAAAAAAAGAGTAGCAGTTGATAAATGCATTTGAAATGTTTAGACAAGAAGAGTGTCATATATAATTAAATCAAAACCTCAAAATTTTGAATTCTAAAGAGAAAAAATTTTTGCCAAAGTGACCTATTTTCCTAGTTATATGGTAGTGACAATCAATATAAATGTTGTCCAAATGGCTAGATGTCCAGATCTCCACAGGATAACTAGGTCCTTGCCGTCTCAAGGCACAGGCACAAAAAGACAACTCTGGAAGCTTATCTCAAGTACACAACTCTCACTGGCAGGGTTTGCTTGCTAGTCTTTTTAAAACAGTCCAGTTTGTTTAGACAAGCCTGGGATTAACAGAGCCAAGGTGTGTGTTTCTAACTGTATCGCTTCTGTCCCCAAAAGAGGAAAACTCTGTTTACTGGACTCTGACCACTAAACAATATCGGATCCACTGTCCATGAGAAGCAGGGTTAGCAACTGTTGATGGATCGCTGGAAAACCCAACAACTCTTCTTAGCAATACAAAAGTCCATGCATTAATGAAACGTTGTGCGGTACATGAAATTTGTAAAGAGGAGACTGTCTGTAATTGACATTTACTTTATTCTCTGATACAGACTAAGTTGGAACCGTGAGAAGGCCCTTTATTTCTAAATGACATCTCAAGACCAGGTAATGCTACTTTTGGAGGAAAAGCAGGAGGAAGAAAAGCGTTGTAATGACAGTAACAAATTACGGGGAAAACATTTTATGGAAATAACTGAGTTTAAAAAAAATGACGTGGCCGGGCGCGGTGGCTCACGCCTGTAATCCCAACACTTTGGGAGGCCGAGGCGGGTGGATCACGAGGTCAAGCATTCGAGATCAGCCTGGTCAACACAGTGAAACCCCATCTCTACTAAAAATACAAAAAGTTAGCCTGGCGTGGTGGTGGGTGCCTGCAATTCCAGCTACTCGGGAGGCTAAGGAAGAAGAATCGCTTGAACCTGGGAGGTGGAGGTTGCAGTGAGCCGAGATCACGCCACTGCACTCCAGCCCAGAAGATAGTGCGAGACTGTTTCAAAAATAAATAAATAAATAAACAAATGAATACTGACCTACAAATGCTTTTCAGGGCTATTTTAATGATTACCTTAATAAGACTAAATTGTTTCCAATATTCACAGTCACTCCTCAAATTACACGCGTTAGGAATTTCTAAGCAATTTTGTGTAGCTGCAACTTGTTGAGGGAAAGCAATAAAGTAACTCTGCTACAGAACAAAAGCACTTTTGTCTCATGGTGGTGAGGGGGCATACCCACCCTGACAGTGTTGCTAGTTACTAGTTCCCGAATCTTTAGAAGCCTGCACATGGTTCAAGCTGTTCCCCAACTGACACACCACAGTACCAGATGTAACTGGAGGCTGAGAAATGTTATATCCCTAGGCTTCACGAGAGAACCTCAGCTTCCTAATTACCATCGACAGCAGTGAGACTGGGTTTAGAAAGAACCACACGTGCAAAGGCAGAGGCAATCTGTGCCGCGCTCTCCCCGCCGCTGCGCCCAGCCCGCCAGCCCTCAGCAGCGGACGCAACGCCGGTTTTGCATCTAGATTGCTTTTTGCTCCTAGCGGGGAAAAAGGTGGGAAAAAAGCGAGTTGTGTCATACACCCGCCGGGACAGTCCTGTCCCAGAGGTTTGTAGTGGGTCTGGAGCCCAGGCTTGCAAGCCAGGCAACCCCGAAAAGCCGCCGACTGGGGCCCCGCAGGCGGCCCTGCGCCCCGGCCTCCCCACGACGCGCGCCCGGATGACAGCAGCTCAGGGTACCCTTCCCGCTCCCTGACCCTCACTCACCGCTCACGTTCACCCGCGCCGCCGAGCCAGGGAGCGGGGGCTCCTGCAGCTGCCGCATGCCCTCGGGGCCGAGCGCGACGGGGCGACCGGGCGCCGGGCTCCAGCTAGGTGCGGACAAGCAGCGAAGGACGCGGCGGGCGGGTGGGCGATGGAACCCCTCCTCTCCAGCTACCGCAGCGGCGCGCCCAGAGCCGTAGGAAAGTTTGGCAGTGCGAGGGAGGGACCGAGGGGTAGCGGCCCCGCCCTGCCCCGCCCTGTCCTGGCCCGCCCATTGAGTCCGACGTTCCCACGGGAGAGCGCCCCCAACCGGCAAGGCCGCGAGCTGCGCGCAAAGGGCAGCGCTCTTGCAGATGCGTACCTGCCTGGGATAGTCCCCAGGTGGGTGGTCGGCCCCGAGGGGGAAAGGCGCCCACTAAAGGACCGCTAGTACCCACAAGCCTCACGGAGCCATACCTCGGAGCTCTGTATTAGAACGCAGTCCCTCTGTCCCTCTGGCCTCAGAGATCTGTTTGAAGTGGTTTCGGGAAGTGCAGCCCACACCCACCACCCGTGGGAGGCAGGCTCTACTCCAAACCCGACCTAACGCTGGAAAACTCAACCCCAAAGCTACCCGAGGGTGCGGACAGCCCCCAGAAGCAGCCAAAAAAATTTAAGGTTCTTGTAAGAGGCTTCTTGGCCTCCTGGGGCAAATAGTTCTGGATACTTTGTTTTTCAAAGCTGAGATATAAAACCACTGACCCACCTTTAGTAAAGAAAGATGCGAAGTAAAACAAATGTCTTGAAGGCGTTGTTCTCTCTGAATTCTGCAAAGCAATAACGAAGTCACAGAAAAGTTGTGCTTTCCTGGTGACCTTACAAAAAGGAAATACTGTGTGAGGTGAAGTCCTTCCCACTCAGGCTTCAAGCCCTTGTGAAGCAATGAGAGTTGTGTGCCCACATGTCTTCCTGTGACCCTTTGCCCTCCATCCATCCGTTCATTCATTCATCTTGCATTCAACATTAATACTGGGCCGTTCTGTGTGCCAGCTAGGAACCTCATCCTTGCAAACAACCTGTTAGATAATCTGCCCCCTACCATCAAAGAGATTCTGTTCTCTCTGCAGAGGATGTTTTAATAAGGTGACATCCCTTACTCAGTGGGTCTCATCCTGTAGACCATAATAGCCTAGTGTGCCTCAAACCTCCCCAGGGCTACGGCTAAATTTTCATCAGTATGTGAAAAGTATTATTTCATCTGAGTGTTCAGAAAATTATTGCGGTGTCTTGCAGTTGAACTGTGTAGAGAGAAGTACAACTTGTGAACCTAGGGCTAAGGAAAGATCATGTGTTTACCAGAACAAGCAGAAGCCTTGCACACAATAAAAATAGCTCAGTAGCAAACATGGTGAAAACCCATCTCTACTAAAAATACAAAAAGTTAGCCGGGCGTGGTGGCACACGCCTGTAATCCCAGCTACTGTGGAGGCTGAGGCAGGAGAATCTCTTGAACCTGGGAGGCGGAGGTTGCAGTGAGCCAAGACCGTGCTACTGCACTCCAGCCTGGGTGACAGAGCAAGACTCCGTCTCAAAAAAAAAAAAAAAAAAGAAAGAGCTCGGTCAAGGGAGTAAACAGCTCAGCTCAAACATAATAGTGCTGAAGGGCAACCTGGAAAACACCAAAATACTCAACAACCAGCATTTAGTGAATACTTGATGCAACAAATGTGTAGTATGTTGAGTAAGATGTTGTAGGCTAGACTGTAAACACCACTAAGAGCCTTCTTGTGCTGGGAAAATCTGTTCTGAATCCAAACAACTTACTAACAAAGGCACTTTGGAAACACATTATGTTGCATTATGTTGTACCTTGGGAACTTCCTGAACCTGAGGTAATTGCAAAGCAGAACAGCAATCCCACAGAGTTCAATCTGAATCCTTAAAAAAGGAGGAAAGTGAAGAGGGCATGGGGAGCTGTGTTGCAAAAGGAAAGAGACTTTCCAGCTAGATGGTTTTAAACAAATGTGGGTCAGATGTGAGGGGAAGACCAGAAGGTGACACAGAGAAACAGATTCAGAGAGGAAAAGCAGTGATTAAAATTTAAAATAAAATTAAAAATAAAAATAAAAAGATACCTATGGGCAGAAGCAGGAAAGAAAAGACAAGAGGCAAAGGACAACTAAAAAGAAAGATGTGGCCCCCAAATCCTACTTTTTAGAAGGTAGCCCAGGGACTATCCAGCAGAACCTCCTACAAATCCTTGTTTGGCCTGTGGTGTCTCACTTCTCTACCAAAATGTTTTTATTAGCAAAGCCAAATTAAAATTAACATCAAAATGGCAAGCATGAAGGCTGAGGGTATATTTTGTCTTAGAGATCACTGACTGGAAAGTAATTCAAAACTTTCAACAAACATTTGCTGGTCAGCTTCATGTATATAAGTGTTGTGCTTTGTGTTCCTGGAAACACAAAAAGTTATAACATTGTTTCTATAAGGAGGTAAAAGGGTCATTCCACAGTGCTTGATAGAATGAAATTGTGATGGCTGAAAGAACAATTGGGGGTGGATGTGGTGGCTCACGCCTGTAATCCCAGGTCTTTGGGAGGCCAAGTTTGGTGAACCACTTTAAGGCCAGGAGTTCAAGAGTAGCCTGGCCAACATGGTGAAACCCCATCTCTACTAAAAATACAAAAAATTAGCTGGGCGTGCACCTGTAATCCCAGCCACTCAGGAGGCTGAGGCAGGAGAATCGCTCGAACCCGGAAGGCAGAGGTTGCAGTGAGCTGAGATTGCACCACTGATCTCCAGCCTGGGTGACAAAGTGAGACTCTGTCCCAAAAAACAAAATAAATTTTTAAAAAACACACAAAACTGCCTGCCTCCTGCCACAGTGAGAAGCAATGTGGGACTCAGGCAAGGCTTCTTCCTCTCTGGATTTATGGAAAGAGGCCATGTTCCTCTGTCCCCAATTCACCTTGGGGCTTCAATTGTATGGGCAGGAATTCACAGATGTGTTGTTCTTAACTTTGGGAAGTATCTGAACTGAATCTCTGCTGAATTTTGCTCATCTATACTAATTAGCCTACAGCAGGTGAATGGTGTGGGAAAGTGGAATGGGAGCTATAAAGTGAGAGATGACAGTGGTACCTGAAATAACAGTTCTGAGAAAAGACTGAGCAAACAGTTAACTCCATAGAAACCACTGGCAAAGAGAGTACAAGAACAGTAGGTGGCCCTGTGGAATATCTCTCAGTGGCATATCAGTAACTTCAATTGAAAATCATGGAAATAGTCCACAAATAAAAGAAATCAAAACTAAAAATCAACATATGTTGAAAAAACAGAATCTAAGGTAAGCTCCCTGGTTTATTCAGTTTCTGTTCATTGTAATTTCATGTACGTTCACTTGAGTATTACTTTAGCATACCTGTGAGCTTGGCTAGTGCGATACTGTAGGCAAATACTGTAATTCTCAAAGGGAAGTTTCAAGCAGAAAATAGGAAGCTAGCATTGTAAATCTTTTACGGATCCTTTATAAAAAGCATTGGCGATTATGGGATGGAAAATGATTATCCACCACTGCTACAGTAAGCATGCTTTAGAACGGTCACTCAGGACAACAACGCCCTAAAGCTCCCATCCAAGCAGCCTTTATTTTCACAACTACTTTACCTACCTTTCAGTTTTGAGGAAATTCTATCTGGAGACAATAATTGAGGTTTTCTTTTACTACTATTCCTTGTTGCCCTCATGACTCCTCAGCACTGAGTCAAGGGAATCTGTTTTTCTGAGAGCACTTATCAAGGGTGGACACAAAAACAACAAAACAACCACAAAAAAAAACCCCAACAAAATTTTTAAAAGAAAAAACAGAAAGCACACCTGACATGTCTGTAACCTCAGCATTTTGGGAGGCCAAGGTGGGTAGATCACTTGACCCCAGGAGTTCAAGACCAACCTGGGCAACATGGCAAAACCCCGTCTCTACAAAAACTACAAAAATTAGCCATGCATGGTGATGTGCACCTGTGGTCCCAGCTACTCAGGAGGCTGAGGTGGGAGGATTGCTTGAGCTCAGGAGGTAGAGGCTTCAAGGAGCCATGATTATACTACTGTACTCCAGCCTGGGTGACAGAGCAAGACCCTGTCTCCAAAAAAAAAAAAAAGTAAGAAAAGAAAAATAATAAAAGAAATCAATTCTCAGCTTGTAGATAGGTCTTCTTAAAATCATAGCAGAAAAATCTTAAACACCAGCGTTTATGATTTTGCAAAAAGATGGGTTCTCTGGAGTTTCAAAGGGCTAAGTGCAGAAAGAAGTGAAACATGAATGTTTTGTCCATAAACAGTCAATTAGAATAGAGCAGATTAAGAAACAGACCACCCTCCCTGGAGGTTAGATAGGGTTTCCTGACCTGGGAGGAGAATTTCAACTGAAAAAGAGATAGCGCTGAAAGCCATGAGCATGGTGTTTGTGACCCCTCACCACTCCTCAGGCTAAGTTATTAGGGACACTAAGGTCTCCCCTTAAGTTTAGGGACCCAGGAATAAAATGGTAGATTGCATTATTATTTAAAAATATAAGCTGCCCCTGGCCAGGCACGGTGGCTTGCGCCTGTAATCCCAGCACTTTGGGAGGCCAAGGCAAGTGGATCATGAGGTCAGGAGATTGAGACCATCCTGGCTAACATGGTGAAACCCCGTCTCTACTAAAAATACAAAAAATAGCTGGGTGTGGTGGTAGGCGCCTGTACTTCCAGCTATTTGGGAGGCTGAGGCAGGAGAATGGTGTGAACCCGGGAGGCAGAGCTTGCACTGAGCCGAGATCGTGCCACTGCACTCCAGCCTGGATGACAGAACGAGACTCTGTCTCTAAATAAATAAATAAATAAATAAATAAAAGCTGCCCCTTTCTAGAGGAGAATTCAACTTCTCTGCCTTATTGATGTCAGGCTTATCCATTTGACTTGCTTCGGCTGATAAAGTGTGAGCTTTTCTAGCCAGCACAAGGTTCATTTGATTCTCTTTTTCCTCTACCCTAGTAACAGCAATATCAGCTCCACCAGCCTAGATCTAGGAGAGAACAAGGCAGGGAGAAATACCATGGCTGACCCAGGAAGGCCAGGTGAGTGAAAAATAAACCTTAGTCTTTCTAAGCCACTGAGATTTGGGGAGCATTTGTTACCACAGCATAACGCAGACTACCCTGACTGATACAAATAGAGAAGAGGTCCCCAGCCTTTTTGGCACCAGGGACCGGTTTTGTGGAAGACAATTTTTCCATAGACAGGGGAGAGGGGATGGTTTGGGGATGATTCAAGCACATTGCATTCATTGTGCACTTTATTTCAAGCACATTGCATTCATTGTGTACTTTATTTCTATTATTATTACCATATAATATATAATGA